CCCGCGTGCCACCCCCGATTGAACTGCACCAAATAGTGAGTAGGTACCAAGTTCTTCCCAACGAGGCTTGCATGAACTATTTCTTCAGCGGTGGCATGGTCGTAATCTTTCTGCGTCAGCTGCTCGCGATATGGCGTAGTATTGGGATATGTACAATGACCCCGACCATCCATGAGACCAAACCTACGGCATTCTTTAAACATTCGGGCATGTTGATGGACGCCTCACGGGGCAGCCGAGCCTGTGGTCAGCATAGTTGGGGCATGTGACAAACTCCTCTGTAGAGCTTTCGCTCCTCGATGATGGCCCTTTCGACAGTGCGCGTGACCATCTTGTCTTGTGATTTGGTAGGTCCCGCCTCTATCTCGTCCCATCGTATGATATTGCCTGCCTCATCTCGTTTGACCTTGCGAAGAGAATGCCAGTGCCGGATTTGATGTTTGTTCCAACCCTGTTTCAACCAGTATTGCACCTGGCCTGCGGGCATGCATTGACGAGCCAATCCAGCTTCAGTGTAGCCTTTCAAACGCTGCATGTCACCTCCTGGATATTCTCCTCCTCGCGGTTGGTCATCTTGAGGCGGGTTCCCCCGCGAGCGATCCTTCCTTGGGGGGCATGGTCTAGTCGCCTGCCATGGCGGGGCCCCCGGGGTTCCCGCATCAGGAGGAAAAGGGCGCTGCGTACCGCTCGAAAGAGCACCGCTGGAGCGGGCTCGCGGGCGATCTGGTGAGCGGCTGGGAGCTCGACCGCGACGTATCAGACGGTCATTCTCTCTTCGTTCGTCGTCCTCGTCATCGTCGCGATAATTCCTCTTCCCCCAGGCGTGGCGACTTGGCGATCGATTCTGGCGGCTGGCGGATCGATCTGGCGCACTTAAAGCGCACTGAAATTCTTCATTATGGCCAAGCTCATATTGCATACGCTCAGATAGATCACCAGCGTCGCGCGGGTTCCCCCGCAGAGGATCACCATCGATGATTTCCATGTCTGTCGGTTTTCCAATCACCCGGGGATAGAACATCGCATGTATTTCCTCATCTGTTGCAAGAATGGTAGATTCTGAGTCCGCGGGCGCCCCCGCCATGCCAGAGTCCCCTTCGACGGGCGCGTGGAAGCTCTCGACAAACTCAATATCTGCAAGCTGTCCCGCGATGGGTATACCCAGCCATTCTGCCAAGTCGATGTCATAATGGCCAGTGAACACCTCCTCGAACAGCTTGTCGGCGCAATTTTCGAGGGCCATGCTGGCACTTAGATACCTGGCAGCCACGAAATGAGCAATTGTGGCTGAGCCGTCGGCAGGGTCGGCTAAAAGCGACCCCCAATCAACATCCTGTATGTCGGAGTCCGTTTGAGCCAGATGCATTGACGGACCCCTGCCACTTCCATCGCCTTGGGGACATTCGCGTCGGAAATGTGGTGCGCTGTGGCATGCGTCGCACTCCATACTTTTACCGTTGGCATCCTTTGGGTTTCCTCGCCGCCCCTTGCCTTTGCCTGATGCATGCCTGCGGTTTCTGCCAGTGCCCAAAAGCATTTCTTCGCGCTGAAGTCCAGTGAGAGACGCTAGAAATGCTAGTGTGCCTCTACCATGCAATCGCCGACGCTCACCCTTGCCTTTACTTCGACCCTTGCCTTTCCCTTTAAGTGATCGTCGTACAATACGCCTTACCTTTTCGGGCCGGTTTCTTCGTGCATCTCCGCCAACGACGCCTGTGTTTTTGATGGCCCAAAAATAACCATTGACCTTGTTGCTCTTAATCCAGGGCGGTAGCTTCGTCATCGGAAGACGCATCCGTATCGGTACCGGAATCGAAGTCAGACTCGGCGGGTTGCTCCGCTGAGCCCATTCAGGCAATGGCTTGTGTAGGGGAAACCACGTCAGGCGGCCCCCTAGGTCTGGCCCAGGAATCTTGCGACCCCGAGGCCGTTCCACCATTCTGAGCCGGCAGTGTAGTGGTCTCAGTTGACTGTGGATCATCGTTCCAGACGTTGTTGGCAAGTTGCCCTGCGTTGGCCTCTACGTGGAAGGTCTCGGTTCGGTGGCCCTGACTAAAGATGCCACCAATATTGCTGGGGGTCCTTTCAGCTATGTGAGCATATGACCTCATACGTTCAAGTACAGCGTCAATCTGATGTTGGTCTCTCGGCATGCGGTGGTCCAGAGGCTGCGGGAGTTGTCCTGCGCGCGTTGTCCCCACTCCGAGAGCTCAAAATAAAACTACTGTTAGGATTTGGAAGTTGGGGATGTTGAAGCCCGCGGTTTCAGCTTCGCAGCGGAATATCTCAAACCGCGCTAACGTCTGGTCGATACGTTCACCCGCATGGACTCGGAAGTCAATAAGAGCCGAACCAGAGTTGAGTTGTCGTTCCTCTTCTAGGTTCTCGAACTTCGTGCTTCAGAGGAGCATAATGTAGGTGGCGCCGTCGGCATGGCGATGACGCCAAAATTAATAACTGCTGGGGGACTCTCATGGCTATAGTCCGCGCGAGACCTCCCAAGCCTCGCTGCAAGGCTGCAGCCTGCTGGGAGGGCGTCACATTGCCTGTGGTCACATTGATCCAAGTGTGTACTTCGCGGACGAACTCGCGAAAAGGTACTTGACCGGCGGGGTCCCAATTGGGGCCGGTCGTTCTTGTGTCGTCTCCGCCACGCATATGTCCTACCGCACACCCAATAGCGACCCATGAAACCCAAAGTTGGTAACCCCAATGCCATGGCCTCGTAGGTCGTAGTCGGATGTAGTCGGTTGGAACTTATGTTGTTTAGTCGTACGTCTGCGTGGAGTCGGAGGCGGCAGTATATCATATCGCATGTTTCTAAGCAGTATGTCTTCGGAGAAATTTCCAACTGGCGTAGGTGGGTGGACTTCAAGAGTGTAATCGCGCAGACATGTAAGATGTAAGTAAGAGACCTCCGCTTGGACAGAGGTATCGCTGCAAGTTTCCTTGCGGTACTGCGTAGTTATATACATTCCTCCGCGCAGACCCACTGCACCCTGATGTTCCGCCATATCTGTAGTCCACCAAATAGTGCCGTGGATGATGAGGAGTAAAGCAATATCTGACCACCATAGGCCAGCTCCGCTACCAACTTTGAAGGGGGCTTGAAGGCCCAGCCAGCAGCTTCGCCACAGGCGAAGCCAAGCTCCCGCTTTGTCATACCGTAGCAGCGATAGTCCCAGTATGAGAGGAGATGCCATCTCAAGCAGTAAGAAGTATCTTTTGGTCTTGATAGCGATTGTGTGCCTCGCAGTGAGGCACAGTCATATTTTGGCGGCCAGCCGCTTGAGCCGACGCGGCCGCGGGCGCACGCTCGCTTCCACTCCTTACGTCCCCCAGCTCGCTTTAGAGTCCCTCGTACATTACGCCGTAGTCGCGCCCCCGAAGCCATAGCTCCTTGTAGATTGCACCATATTCGCGTCCCCGAGGCCATGATCCCTCGCAAATTACGCTGTGTTCGCGCTCCCGAGACCCTAGCTCACTTTCAAGTGAGCAATACCTGCGTCCCCCCGATCCATCGTACATTACACTCCCCGAATTCATGAACCCTCGTAAAGGGCGCAATATTCGCGCTTCCGAGGTCACAATCCTTGATCAAAAGGCCCCCAAGACGATACAAAAGGCTTCCGAGACGGCCCAAGAGTGCTCCAAGGCTCCCAAGATGGCCCCAAAATGGCCCAAGAGGCTCCCAAGAGCGCTCCAAGAGCACCCCCAAAGAGGAGCCCAAGAGGCCAACATCTGCAAAGCGCCTGGATACCTCCAGTGATCCCCGTGCGGAGTTCCGACACTGCTTCACGACGGCGCCCAAGTCTCACACCGAGAGATGGGGCCGGCGACTGGGGCTGAAGCCCTTACGGATGTTTGGACCGTATTGCTCTTATGACTGCTTGCTCCTCCGATAGGGGGTCCCACGAGGTCTTGGGGTGGGGGGTTGGGCGGGTTCCTGGTCAGAACACCGCGGCCCTGGGGCCCTGGGGGGTACCGGGGGAGGTCCAGCATACAGGGTCGGTGGCACTGGCCGTAAGGCCTTCGCAGTATATGAACCGTATCATTATCATTACCTTTGTCTGCGGCGAGGGAGGGGGGGAGTGAGAAGGAGGAGGCCTTCTCAGACGGCCCGAGACCTTCCGAGCCTCCTGGGAAGGCCCGCCCCTTCTCACCTCCCCCCCGGCGTGCCACCGCTTCTTGCTCCTCCGGAAGGGGAGAAGGCAGAAGGGCAGCGGAGCGTCCCCTCCCTCTGCTGAGCTCGCGCACGTCCCCCGTCCTCGGGAGGGGGATCGGTGCCCGACTCGGGCTATACCCGAAAAACTACAGTCAAAAACCCTAATAAGGACGCGCGGTAAGGACGCAACACCCTTGGAAGCCGAAGTTGGGATTTTTGGGGCGGCGGACGACGAAAACCCCAAGACGAAACCAAGGAAGGACGGAGACGCAAGAGCAAGGAAGAGCAAGGACGCAACGGTATCCTGAGCAAAGTCGCGCGTCCTTATTAGGATTTTTGACGGTAGTTCCGTGCTGCAACCAACCTGGTGTTTCGAGTTGCTGTCTGACTAAATCTCGGGATCCAGAACAGCTGCAGAGGTCTTCGGCTTATCATTGGTTCTGTCATCGTGGAACGCATCCGTCTGCCAGTTCGGGGGGACTGACGGACTGACCCTGCGTCGTTAACGACTTCCGAAGTGAAGTACAACCAACACGGATGAGGCAATGGAGGCACAATGAACGGCATAAAACATAATCTGTCGGAGGTCCGCGCGGATCGTCGAAAGTTTAAAGTTTACATTCATGCGTTTTTCGTTGTTCGAGCGATTTTCGTCGAAAGCATGCTGCTCGCAACCATGCATCCTGTAGGCTCTCAGCTGGGATGCCAACCAGCCACCACCCCATTTTGGGCCTTTGTGGCCACCGATGCGAGAGGGAGGGTACAGTCGAAGCGCGTAGTAAGGATGAGCGACTTTCCAAGGCTACCCGTGCATCCTTCCCCTTCGGCCAATCATTGGCTCTTTTCGCTGGCCGCGCCCCGCTCGAAAGTGTCGGCATGGTCTTCCAAGGCCCTTGCATCCTCATCGCGCATCCTTATACTACTGGTGGACTGTGCTCTCAAACGCAGCAGAGCCTGCTCGAGAACGCTTTCCTGCCGACAACACCAGAAGGCCATGTGCACTGCTGGGAACGCTAGGTCTGCAGCAGCCCTGCTAATGGCGCCGACTTGGCATAGGCAGGGCTGTCGGGACACGGGGGTGCTCAGGGCGGAGCCGGGGAGACTGGTGGGGAAGGGGGGGATTTTTTGTCTCTGGCCACCGCCTGGAGATTTTTATCCATGGCTGGGCTGGTGCACCCACCTTCGACGCGGGGATTTTCATCTATGGCCCGGGTCGAAGGTGGGGGGCTGGTGGGCCCTCGTTCGGCGCGGGGATTTTTACTCATGGCCACCGCCTGGGGGATCGATCCTCGGGGGCCTCGGCCGGCGGCGGATATGGACACGTTGCCCCTACACAGGGTCCGAACGTATCCACATCCACCGCCCGCCGAGGGGACATGCGAGAGGGGGGGGCAACGCAGGGACCGAGAGGCGGAGGCAGCAAGGCTGGAGCACTGACGCTCCGTATGTACACGGATCAGGCCGACGCTTCGGCTGGACCCGTCCCTCACAGACCAGGGCTGCGGTGGTCAGTGCGACGCCTGAGCTTCCCCTCTCCTCTGGCGCCTCTCCACGCGGCAAAGACACTGCAGGCCCCAGCCCTCGCCTCACCATCCGTCCAGCGAGGCTGCTCCCCACGCGTCATCACCGGGGCCGCCAGAAATCTCTCGTCATCATCGCCGTTCTCGCCGCCATCATCCCCGCCAGGCTCCACGTCTTCGCGGGAATGGCGGCACGACGCGCCGGCACCATTATCTGCATCCTCTGCATGCTGTACCACCGCCGAAGCTCTCCACGCTCTGCTTCCTGGCCTCCCGCCGAGCCGGAGTCCGCCCGTGCGTCCGCTGCCCTGTCATACTTGTGTTCGTTCAGGCGGGGCACGGGAAGGGGCAGGCAAGGAGACTCTGCGGGTGGTGAGAGGGTCCTTGCGCTTCTCTGGAATGAGGCGGGGTCCATCCATAACAACCCCTTGGGATATCGACCCTCAGGGAGCGAAGTAGGCTGTATGTGTTCATGGATAAAACATAGGTATGCTAGAAACACGCGCGCTTCGCGCGCTGAGGTTCTTGTCAAAAGCAGTTGTTGCTTCATGCTCATCCTATGCCTACGCTTCATCTGGTAGTCCCAGTCGTCTCGTTCCTTCTCGCCCTCCTCATTCTCACCGCCCTTCTCCTCACTCTTCCTCGTTTGGCATGCTCATGGACCCCAGCGCGCGAGGAAATGAAGCCCACAAGGGCGAATCCCAATTCCCAAACCGGCGCCATCACGGCGAGGAGAGCTATTCGTGCGACCATTATTAATGTTTTCCGACGGCGGAGAAGAGAGACGAGGCGGCCATATGTGAACCCTACCCCTGCAGGACTAATTTCTAAAAGCAACATGTGGTTCGGAACTGAATGGATGTATGCAACCGAATGAATGAACACCATCGGGGGTGTCCGATAGCCCAACGTCTATTGGACCCGCAGGGGTAGGGTTCGCATGTGGCCGCAAAGAGGAGGAGCGGTCCCCGCGCCCCCGAGGGGCAACGATTACGGGGGAGACTGGCATAGGGGGGGGGACACATCGACCTGGGATCGCCGACACATAGCCGATAAATCAGCGATAGGCTCCCGAGAATGATCCCGCATATTCTTTCGCCGGGTGGGGCCATCGGGCCCCTATCGGCGATCACTGGGCGGTTGGGGGTAGATGCATACCCCCCTATGCCTATCCCCCCGATCGTTGCCCCCGAGCCCCTCCTGGGGTCAAGAGGAGATGTAGTAGTTGTCGTGGGCGTCGGAGAGGCCGGCGCCGAGCGCCGAAGAGCGCCGCTCGGAGCGCCAGGTCCTCGAGGGGGCGGGACCGAGAAGAATGGTAAGACGAAACCAGGACGAGAATAACATGGGGTAAAAAGACATTCGGATGAACCTCTGAGGTCTGGCGGCGCTGGAGGATGTCTCGGGCGCCGCGGCCTTCTCAGCTCTGGAACGGATTTATCCTCGTCCCAGCCCCGCCTGGAAGGGAGAGACGATGGGCTCGGGAAAAACAATCCTTCGGAGGTCTGGGTAGGAAATCGTTCCTGGAAGATCTTCGCAAAAACGGCTCAAGCCCATCAGGCCCTTGATTCGGCCTGATCGCGCAAGAATCAACCAAATTAGGCGAAATCGTGCCGGACTAACCCACTATTTCCGACCACGGCGCGGGGCATCCGCGAAAAAACACCCCCGTATCCACTCGAGCACTGGCTCGCCGATAAGCCCACCCCAGAATGTTCCAAGGACCACCTTGTGTGGTTTGCACAACATGGTCTTAAAATATTTCTCTGCCCGGTCCACCAAGGCCAAAACCATTGCAATAAGCGTCGTCGCGTCGGTCGCCGTCGCCGTCGCCGCGCACCGTCGCCGTCGCTGCTCCGTCGTCGCTGCCGCCGCTGCTGTCACCGCCGCCGCAATCGCCGCTGCTCCCGTCAACGCCGTCCTCGCTGCTTTCTGCCGCCGTCGCCGCTGTCGATGTCAGTGGTATGGTATACTATTGGGGCGGGGTCTGGTTTACTTGTGGGAGGCCTTGCCTACTTCCGAAGGAGTGCGATCCCCTCATGGGCGGTGACACTCCAATTTTGGGTCGTCTGGCCTCCAATCGCGGCTGTTCCGACTCATGCGTGGCAGCGCTCTGGTTTATGCGCGCGCGTGGTATGCCGACTTTTGTGAGCGGTCGGATGGGTGCTTCGTTTTACTCTTGGGAAAGGCATGATCTCATTGCGCGCGAAGAAGAATCGTTTCTTTTCGCGCGGCTTCGCCTGCATTGATGGACAATCTGCTCTATTATTCAGCTATGTATGCCGCATTTGTGGATCGTTTTGCGCAACGAGCAACTGCCCCCGCGGCCGCTCACCCGCCGCGGTGGCTCGCGCCAGAGGCCGCGCATCATCGCCAGAGTCCAGACTCGTTAGGCGCCAACATCACGTCGCGGGCCTCTGTCTCTGCAAACCGACGTCTGTCCACCTGCGCGAGCTCCCCGCCTGCGCCGAAAAAACACATCAGCTGCCGCGTCCATCGCGGCGCCTCGAAGGTGTTCCTTGACGCCCATGCGCGCAAGAGCCATGGACAGCAATCGCTCGTCGAAGTCCACGCAGGCGCGAGGGGGGAGCCCCTCGAGCAAATCCCACGAGCAGGCCACGGCGCGCAGAGCATCATTATTTGCGGCCCCTGCTTGCCGTAGTTTCTGCGAGGCTCTGGCGTCGAGTGATGGGATGCTCGCGACAAAGTCTGCGACGCAATTCCTCCTCTCATTCAGCGCGGAAGCCAGAAGTAAGCCTCCGCAGTGCCAAGCTCGGCAACGTTGACCAATGGCGCCCGCGGCGGGGGCGCTCAACCATCGCGAAATTGCATGCACCACCCGCGCCGCTACGGAGACGATGGCTGGCATCTCGCTGATTGTTGGTGCGATTCTGAAAGAACGGTGAGTTTTGCCGGAGCGCGCAGGCGTGCCAGAGGCTGCGACGGGGACCTCCAAACCCGTTTCCTCCAGGAATGGCACGGGGGACGGCGGCGGCAAAATCTTGCGGTCAACAGCATCTTTGTGTTTGGTCAAGCACAGGAGCATATCAGGTCGTCGAGGTCGTGGGCGCAGCCACGTGCACCAACGCCATCTGGCGAGCACGTCGCGCCAGAGGCTGCGATGTCCGCGGCCGCAACTCCGCGAGCCGCTTCAGCCGACTCAAGAGAATCGATGCCCGCGTCGGCCAAACCGGATTCGGCTCCGGGCCCCATGCCAGCGAGCAGGGGCCAATCTTCCTGGTCGACGGGCACGCGCGCCCCTCCGCTTTGAACGACCACCGCGAGAACCTGGGGATCAACGAGGCGACGCAACAAGCCGCAGCGAGGAAGCCGCGGGGGAAGCGGGGTGGCGTCGGAACGGGGGCAGGCAACGCGGGGAGCAACGAAGACGGAGAGGGCGCGCAACATGGGGAGGAGGGGGGGTAAGCGCGGCGCAGGGGAGGGAAGCCATGACGCAGAACGCGAGGAAGGCAACCCCCTGTCGAGCCGCGCTGGGACCTGAGAAGCGGTTGGTTTTTGTGGGCCCAAACCACCTGATTCGATCGTAACTGGCGCCTGCCACAAGCTGTTTCTCGCGCAGCGCTCTCTCTGCTTTCCTGAACGTGGGTTTCGCTGCGAGTACTTTGGCAAGATCTTCGCAAGCTGCTAGAACTCGTCCATTGCGCGCGTCAGGGATCAAGATCGCGAGTTCCTGGCCACCCGCGCGGCGACTCGCTGGACCCATGAACGGATGGTGCGCGAACGTCGCGCCAGAGGCTGCGCTCGCGCGCTTGGTCCGCGCACCGCGGCGTATGAAGTCGACCTTGCGCTCGTCGCGGCATCCGAGCACCTGTCGCCCGCTCGCGCCCGCTTCCATCGAAAACCCCGCACCCTGAAATGCGCCAGCTCGCTCCGCGGAGCTCGCGTGCTCCAAGCGAGGCAGCGCAGTCGACATGTGTTTAAGTAACGATTTCGACGACCATCGCCAATAGCACACATAGATCACCGACAAAACCTCCAACCGCGCAGCAATCGCGCCAGGGGCTGCGTTCCGAAGATACTGGCCGCATGCTATGCCGACCCGCATGTCACGTTTGCGAAGCAGGGAGATGGCGAAACCGCCCGCAACGAACGCGCCTACTTTGTCGCCCGCTTTGCCCAATACATCACCCAATCTGGCAACTGTCCAATGCTGCCCTGTCTTCTTCGGGCGATATGCGGTACAGTCCTTATTTTTGCAGCCCCCATCGCGGTCTCTGGCGCGCCAGAGGCGCGCCTGGCAGCGCGGCGCCATCGCGCCAGAGGCTGCGAACGACTGCAAATCGCAGCATCGTCTAGCGCGGTCGGGCGTCGTTCCGCTCGAGCCCAAGCAGCCACGGGCATGCGGGTAGCGCGATGATGAACGTCGCGTGAAACTCCGCTGCGCCAAGTTATATTTGGTCGCGACGACTTTCCGATTGCTTCGGATGGCAATCTGGCGCGTCCGCTGGCGCGGCGCGTGCTTTTCTGCAGGGTCGGTGCCGCGGCCCTGAAAAATGACATGGGGGACTTGTCGCCAAACCGCGCAGACAGCAACGGAAGCCGCGAAAAAATGAAGCGCGCCACCCTGAGAGCAAAGCAGACCATCCCCAAAAGTACAGGAGGCCACCCCCAAAACAAAAACATACCACTCAGGCGTGCAAACCAGACCACCGCAACAAAGGAAACCACCACCGGAATTGCGCAGACCACCCGAAGAGTAAAGCCGACCGCGGAAAGTAGAGCAGACCACCCAAGACCAGCAAAGCAGACCATCCCAAAAAGTAAAGGAAACCACCCCAAAAGGAAAAGCAGACCGCTCAGGAAGGTAAATCAGACCACCGCGAAAACAAAAGGAGCCAACGATAAGGCTTACGCAGACCACCCAAAAAGCAAAGCCGACCACCGGGGAAAGTAAATCAGACCACGCCGAAATGTAAACCGACCAAGGAAAGTGACGCAGGCCGCCCAGGAAAGTCAAGGACGCCACCCAACAAGTAAAGCAGACCATCCCAAAAAACACAGGGTGCCACACCAAAAAATAAAGCGTGCCACTCAGGAGGGCAAACCAGGCCACGCCGAAAATTAAAACCGCCCCGCAAAAGCACAGCAGACCACCCAGGAACGTCAGGGACGCCACCCCAAAAGTGAAGCAGCACATCCTAAAAAGTGCAAGAGACCACCCCGAAAACTAAAGCAGAACACTCAGGAAACCAGACCACGCCGAAAAGCGAAGCCGACCAAGAAAAGTAGAGCAGACCACCCAGGGAAGTCAAGGACGCCACCCAACAAGTAAAGCAGACCATCCCAAAAAGTACAGGAGACCACACCAAAAAGTCAAGCAGACCACTCAGGAATGTAGACCAGATCACGCCGAAAAAGGTAAAGCCGACCATGGCAAGTGAAGCTGACCACCCAGGAATTGCAAGGACGCCACCCGAAAAGCGAAGCAGACCATCCCAACAAGTAAAGGAGACCACCACAAACAAGTAAATCAAGCCACTCAGGAAATTAAGCCAGGTCGCGCCGAAAAGTAAAGCCGACCACGGAAAGTATAGCAGACCACCCAGGAAAGTCAAGGGCGCCACCCAAAAAATAAAGCAGACCAACCCAAAGAGTATACCAGCCCAAACAGTGAAGCAGACAACTCAGGCAATTGAACCAGGTCGGCTGTACTTTAAGTACAGCCGACCAATGAAAATGAAAGAGACCGCCGATGAATTTCAAGGGCGCCGTCCAAAAAGTAACGCACACCGTCCCAAAACAACTAAACCACCCCAAACAATGAAGAAGGCCACCCGGGAAAGTAAACCAGGCCACGCCGACAAGTACAGCCGACCACGGACAGTAGAGCAGACCGCCCACGCATGTCAAGGGCGCCACCCAAAAAGCAAGGCAGACCACCCCAAAAAGTAAAGGAGACCACGCCAAAAAGTCAAGCAGACCACTCAAGGAGGTAAATCAGACCAACGTAAAAAAAGAGGAAGCCATCAATGGGCTTACGCGGACCACCCAAATAGCAGGGCAAGTAACTCAGACCACGCAGACAAGTAAGCCGATCAAGGAAAGTTAAGCAAACCGCCCAGGACAATCGAGGACGCCACCTAAGACGCAAAGCAGACCACCCCAAGAAGTAAAGGAGACCACGCCAAAAAAGTCAAGCAGGCCACTCAGGAAAGCGAGCCAGACCACGCCGAAAAGTAAAGCCGACCGAGGAAAGCGCAGCAGACCGCCCAGGAAAGTCAAGGGCGCCACCCAAAGGGCAAGGCAGACCATCCCAAACAGTAAAAGAGACCGCCCAAACAAGTCAAGCAGACCACTCAGGAAGGTAAACCAGACCACGCCGAAACGTAAAGCCGACCATGGGAGGTAGAGCAGACCGCCCAGGGTAATCAAGGGCGCCACCCAGCAAGTAAAGCAGACCATCCGACAAAAAGTAAAAGAAGACCACGCCAAACAGTAAAGCATACCACTCGGGAAATTAAAACCAGACCACCCCGAAAAGTGAAGCCGACCGAGGAAAGTGAAGCAGACCGCCCGGGAAAGTCAAGGGCGCCACCCAGAAAGTAAAGCAGACCACCCCCAAAAAAGTAGGAGACCACCACGGAAAGTAAAGCTGGCCACCCAGGCAAGTAGACCAGACCACGCCGACAAGCGAAGCCGACCAAGGAAAGTAACGCAGACCACGCTGGAAGGCCAAGGGCGCCACCCAAGAAGTCAAGCAGGCCACCCCAAACAATAAAGGAGACCACCCCTAACGGTACAGCGGACCTCTCAGGGAATTAATCAAGACCGCGCCGAAAGGTAAAGCCGACCAAGGATCATTAAGCAAACCGCCCAGGAAGGCCAAGGACGCCACCCACAAAGCAATGCTGACCATCTCAAAAAGTAAAGGAGACCACCCTAACAATGAAACGAAACAGACCACTCAGGAAAGAAAACCAGACCACGCCGGAAAGCAAATCAGACCAAGCAAAGCAGACCGCCCAGAAAAATCAAAGACGCCACCCAAAAGGTAAGGCAGACCATCCCACACAATAAAAGAGACCACCCCAAAAAGTCAAGCAGACCACTCAGGTAGGCAAATCAGACCACGCCGAAAAGTAAAGCCGACCAAGGAAAGCGCAGCAGACCGCCCAGGAAAGCCAAGGGCGCCACCCAAAAAAGTAATGAAGACCAACCCACAAAGTAAAGGAGACCACCCCGAAATTAAAGCAGACAGCTTCGGAAAGCAAACCAGACCACGCCGAAAAGTAAAGCCGACCAAGGAAAGCACAGCAGACCGCCCAGGAAAATCAAGGGCGCCACCCGAAAAGCAAAGCAGACCACCCCAAAAAGTAAAGGAAACCACTCCGCAAAATACAGCATACCACTCAGGGCAACGAGCCAGACCACGCCGGAAGAGCAAAGCAGACCAAGGAAAGCGAAACAGACCGCCCAGGAAAGCGAAGGGCGCCACCCAAAAAGTAAAGCAGACCATCTCAGTCAGTTGGGCAATCCACCCGGAAAAGCACAGCAGACCACTCAGGAAGAGTAAACCAGACCACCCCGAAAAGTGAGGCCGACCGAGGAAAGTGCAGCAGACCGCCTAGGAAAAACAAGGGCGCCGCCCGAAAAGTAAAGTAGACCACCCCAAGAAGTGTCGGAGACCACACCGCAAAGCACAGCAGACCACTCAGGAAAATGAACCAGACCACGCCGAAACGTGCAAAGCCGACCAAGGAAAGCAAAGCAGACGGCCCAGGAAAGTCAGGGGCGCCACCCAAAAAGTAAAGCAGACCACCCCGCAAAGCAAAGGAGACCTCCCCAAAAAGTAAAGCAGGCAACTTCAGGAAGTCAACCAGACCGCCCAAGAGAGTCGAGGGCACCGCTCAAAAGGTAGAGCAGACCACCCAAAAAAGTGAAGGAGACCACCCCAGAAGTAAAACCGACCGCTCTGGAAAGTAAACCAGGCAACGCCGAAAAGCAAAGCCGGCCAAGCAATGCGCGGCAGACCGCCCGGGGATGTTGAGGGCGCCACTCAAAAAGTAAGGCAGACCACCCCAAAAAGCAATGGAGACCACCTCCAAAACGTAAAGCAAAACTCAGGAAGCAAAGCAGATCACGCCAAAAAGTACAGCCGACCGAGAAAAGCAAAGCAAACCGCCGCGGAAAATCAAGGGCGCCATCCAACAAGTAAAGCAAGCCATCCCAAAAAGTAAAGGAGACCACCCCATGCAATAAAGCAGACCACTCAGGGAGGTAAAACAGACCACGCCGACAAGTAAAGTCGCCCAAGGAAAGCGCAGCATACCGCGCAGGAAAGCCGAGGGCGCCGCCCAAGAAGTAAAGCAGACCCCCCAAAAAAGTAAAGGAGACCACCCCAATCAGTAAATCAGAACACTTCGGAAAGCAAACCAGACCACGCCGAAACGCACGAGCAGGCCGCGGGAAGTAAGACAGACCGCCCAAGAAAGACACGGGCGACACCCCCCAAAAAAAGCAGACCACCCCGGAAAATAAAGGAGACCAGCCCAAAAAGTAAAGGGGGCCACATTGGAAAGTAAACCAGAACATTTCGGAAAGCAAAGCCGACCACGGAGAGTAAAGCAGACGGCCCGGGAGAGTCAAAGGCGCCACCCGACAAGTAAAGCAGACCACCCGAACAAAAGTGAGGGATGCCACCCCAAAAAATAAAGCGGACCACTTTGGAAAGAAGATCAGACCACGCCGAAACGCACAGCCGACCAAGGAAAGCAAGGCAGACCACCCAGGAAAGTCAAGGACGCCACCCAAAAAGTAAAGCAGACCACCCCGAAAAAATAAAAGGGACCACCCCAAAGAGTAAAGCAGACCACTTTGGAAAGCAAACCAGACCACGCCGAAAAATACAACCGGCCAAAGAAAGTGAACCAGACCGCCCGGGAAATTCAAGGACGCCAACCAAAAAGCAAGGCAGGCCACCCCAAAAAGTAAGGGAGACCACCCCAAAAAGTACCGCGAACCGCTCAGGAAAGTAAGCAAGAAGACCACGCCGAAAAGAAAGCCGACCAAGGAAAATAAAACAGACCACCCAGGAAAGTCAAGAACGCCATCCAAAAAGCAACGCAAACCACCCCAAAAAGTGAAGGATACCACCCCACATCATGAAGCATAACACTCGGGCAAGTAGGCCAGACCAAGCCGAAAAGCACAGCCGACCAAGGGAAGCGCAGCAGACCGCCCAGGGAAGTCAAGGACGCCACCCAACAAGTAAAGCAGACCATCCCAAGAAAGAAAGGGAGGCCACTCCTAACAAGTAAAGCAGAACACTCTGGAAGGCAAACCAGGCCACGCCAACGAGCAGAGCCGACCGAGGGAAGTAAAGTAGACCACCCAGGAAGGTCAAGGACGCCACCCAAAAAGTAAACCAGACCACCCCGGAAAAATAAAAGGGGACCACCCCAAAGAGTAAAGCAGACCACTCAGGAAAGAAAACCAGACCACGCCGAAAAGCAAAGCAGAGCAAGGAAAGCAAAGCCGACCGCCCAGGAAAGTCAAGGGCGCCACCCAAAAGGCAAGGCAGACCATCCCAAAAAGTAAAGGAAATCACACCAGAAAGTAAAGCAGGCCACCTCGAAAACTATACCAGACCACCCCAAAACATAAAGCAGGCCGGGGAAATTAAAACAGACCGCCTGGGAAACGCAAAGGCGCCGCCCAAGAAGCAAATCAGGCCATCGCCCCGAGAAAGTAAAGGAAACCAGCCCAAAAAGCAAAGCGGACCACTCGGGAAAGTTACCAGACCACGCCGAGAAGTAAATCCGACCGCGGAAAGCAAAGCAGACGACCCAGGACAGTCGAGGACGCCGCCCAAAAAGTAAAACGGACCACCCCAAACAGGGAAAGGAGACCACCCCCAAAAAGCAAAGCAAACCACTCAGGAAAGCAAACCAGACCACGCGCCGAAAAGTAAAGCAGATCACCAGACCATTCGAAGAAGCAAGGCAGACCATTCGATAAAGTAAAACAGGCCTTCAAACAAGTAGAACCTCCGCCCCCCCCTATCCGCGCCCCCCTCCTCTCCCCGCGCTTCAGCGTCGTCGCCGACTGGCTCGGAAGACGCCCCCCCCCCGCCCCCGGCCCCACCTCGGGCCTCCAAGCACTCCAGCCCTGCAGCGAGATGTCGCTCCGATGATCCCCCCCTGTCCCTCATCATCCTTCTCTTCCCCCTCTTATTTCCCTTTTCCTCCTCCGCCTCCTGATCCGACAGGGAATGGGGAGGGGGGGGCGAGGCGCGGGCGCGACCGAAGGCGGGCAATGGCGGACGAGACAGGAGAGCCGGCGAGGGCAGTTGTTTCAGCAGAAGGCTGAAGGAATGACTGTCTCATTGCGCGCGGCCGCTTGGCTCGCGAGCGCCCCCTCAGCGCTCGCTTGCGATCCCGCCAGAAGATGGGTTTCGCCGCTCGCGTGCCCTCGCTGCTGTTTGCCGCGCTTGGTTGGCAAACCGCGCCGCCCCGCCTCGTGAAATTGGAGCGCCTTCGCATTGCGCCTGCGAACGCCTTCTTCAGAGGCAGACTGGGAGCGCATCCGCTAGTTGAGCCACAGCGGGAGCGTCTGGTAGAGGCGGCAAGTGTCGCAGCACGAGCAGGCCTCCTTCCCCCGCCAGAAGAGCTCCGCGAGCGTCGCGTAACTCCCAGATCTAATCTGCAACCCGCCAAAGGCTGGGTCGCTCCTGAGCACTTCTGCGCCGCCATCCGCTCGAAAGATCCAGTCCGCGTCCTTCTGGCGCAACTGCCCGTCGGTGCACCGCTGACCCCCCCGAAGCAGCCGCTCGCGCGTCTCTGGAGTCGTCGCGAATTGATAGCGCCAGAAGTTGGGATCCAAGTGGGGATTCCCGCCAGAAGCTGGGCCGCCCAGTCCGAGCGCGCCGGCCTGGCCCCCCCGTCGCGCTTGGCCAAGATGCGCTTGGAATAGTCGGCCTTGTCGTTCAGCTCGATTCCCTGCGAACAAAGACGCGCCGTCGGCGGCCCGAAGAACCCCCTCGCCGATTGCGCCCGCGGATGTTTTTTTCTCTTCCTCGCCGCCCTCGTCCTTTTCCTCCGCCTCCTCCCGCCCCTGCCTCTCCCCCTCTTCCCCTTCTGAGTCGCCTCGCAGCGCTCCCGCTTGAGGCAGGGGTTCGTCCTTTCTGCTCCACCCATTCTCCGCCCTCCACTTCCTCGGCGCGATCGACGGTGGGGGCGGGGAAGGGATGTCGGGATCTTCGGCGCCGAGGGGCGCCCTCGCGCTCCCGTTCGAGGACCTCCCAGGCGTGCCCCCCCAGCCTCCAGTTCCCGCCAGAGGCTGGGGATAGGTCGGGCATCTCCGCGCAGTTGTGCCTCAGCGAGCCGCCCCGGAATTCCTTTTGCAGCCTCGGCATGTAGTGCGTCTTCCTGGAAGCGACTGCCGTCGCCGCGTCCTCCAGCTGACCGCAGCGCTTCTGTTTCATGCCGGGGATTCCCGATGCGTGCTCGTCGGGGCAGGGCGCGGGATCGCAGCCAGTGGCCATGTCTGCGAGGAGCTTCTCGCGATCCCGCTGGCGCCGCTCTGCCTCCTCCGCGGAATCCTTCGGCGCTCGCCCGCGCCAGTGGCTGCGACCCTCCCCAAACGCGGCGACGCGGGCCTGCTGGCTGATGCGCCTGACCACCTGGCGCAGCTCTTCCTTCTGCTCGTCGGTGAGCTTCTCCTGCTGCTTGGCAGAGATGCAAGATGTCAGGTCGATCTCGCCAGAGGCTGAAGTCTCCCGCGCGGGCCCTGGCCGCGACCTGGAGCGTCGGCGCTGCGCGGGCGCGGCGGGCGGCCCCTCTTCTTCTGAGTGCGAGTCTGCCTGCGATGAATCCCCATCCCAGCGAGGTGATTCGGCCTCGCCCTTGAACGTCGGGGCCATTTCCTCCTCGTCCTCCTCCTTGACATCTGCGGCAGCGGCCGATTCAGGTTCTCGTTCGCCCTTCGTCGGCGGAGCTCCTTCAGTCGCAGCGCCGCGCGCCAGAGGCTGCTGTGGCACTGGCGCCGGCGTCGCCGGGGCCCTCGGCGCTGGCGTCGGCGGAGCAGCATTGCCGCGCGGCTGAGCTTGCGAGGGCTGAGACTGAGGCGCTGGCGTCGGTGGAGCAGCGAGCCCTGCTGCGGTAGCGTTGGCAGAGCCTGCTGCGGTAGCGTCGGCGAGGCCAGGCGGCAGAACTTGCGACGGCGGATCCTGCTGCGCTGGCGTCGGCGGAGCGGCGAGGCTGGGCCGGCGAGCTCCCGGCGGGCGGGGCCTGCTGTGGTAGCGGCGGCGAAGCGCGGCGCAGCTGCTGAGCTGGCAGATGAGCAGCTGTCGAGCTGGGGGGCTGCTGGGCCGGCGTCGGCGGAGCTGCGCTCGCCAGAGGCCGAGGAGAAGACGCCGTGCCCTCGGCGCGGTGAGGAGCCGCCGCGGGCAACTTCGGCGTCAGAGTCAGCTTCGGCGCCTTGGCCGCACTTGGCCTTTCTCCAGCCCCAGCCTTCGCCTTGGGAGCTCGAGCTCGGGGCTCGGCCTCGCGGGGCGGAGGCGGCCCCGCCAGGCTGAGCCGCAAGCGCAGCCGGCGAAGCGCAAGCGGAAGCGGCCCCGCGAGAGGCTGGCGCAGCAAGCATAAGTTGCGCATGAAGATGTCCTCGAAGACCGCCTGAGTTTCGGCGAAGTCGCGCGGCGTTGCGTTGGCGCCTGTCGTGCTCCAGTCGAGGCCGACTAATCCCGCTGTGGACTGCGGGTGAGCGGTGGCGCCGCGCACGCTGACGCCCACGCGCGTGGCCGCGCCAGAGGCTGCGAGCGCCACCTTCAGGCCCCAAGGGGGCTGATGACCCCTCGTGGCCCGACCGACGCTGTCCCGCAGACTCAACTCCAGAGCATTCTGGAGATTGCGCTGGCATACTGACGCCACGAGCGGATGCCCTTGCGCCAGCGCCTGGGCGCGCCAGATGTTGGTGAAGTGCATCATCTTCTGGCCGCCGACGTTCGCCTCCAACAGCTCAGCCCGCGGCTCTGCACCTGTCGGAAGCGGAAGCGGGCCCGCCAGAGGCTGGGGCACCAAGAAAGGAACGTAGTGCCACTCCATCTTGCCGGCTGGCTGCAGCGCGGCGTAGCGATGCCGCGCGAATTGCTCGCTCTTCTTGGGCTTTGCCTGCCGTGGCGCCAGCAGGGTCGCTGGCTCCGCTGCTCGCGCGGGATGCTGCGCGCGCCACTCCGCCACAATTTCCGCCAGGGGCTGGATCCCTACCTCCGTTGCTCCAGAGCCTGAGGCGGCCATGGACAAAATGAGGACTGCCGGGCGCCCATCGGGAGATCGCGCGCGCGATTAGCGCGGAGCTGCTCGCGCGAGCGGCTTGAACCAGAGAGGCTGCGAGCGCGGGCCGCGAGAAAGGATGGGAACACCTCGGGGATGCAGAAATTATTGCTCAATACCTGCTCATTCTCGTGCTGCCGTTCTCCCTCCCCCACCTCGCCCCCCAACGCGCCCCCGCCAGAGGCTGGGGCGCATTCTGCGCCTGCTCGCTGTAATCCTCGCTCTCGTCGGACTCGTCGACCTCCTCCACCGCGTCGCCATGATCTCATAAGCTCCCTCCCGTGACCGCAACCTAATTGGCCACGCGTGACTCCTTCGCACGAGAATTCCAGATGCCCAGGTCAGCTGACACTTGGCGCGCACGTTGGAGAAAAGCGCCAGGCGAGGAGGGAGGAGAGCGGACAGCTCGGACGCATGGCATGGGATAGCATGGCACGGTCGGCGCGCGATGTCGAAAGTATAGCACGGTAGAAGCAATGAACTGGATTATGGTGATGCTGATGATGATGGTGTAAAAATATGCTTGACTAAGCCATTCGCTCTTTCGCCGTTTCGCAACATCGCCGCATAGAGCCATTCGCGGCTTCGCCGTGCCGCAGCTTCGCCGCTTTGCAATATAATTGGTTTCGTGGGCCATTCGCAGTTTCGCCGAGCGGGGCCGTTTGGTGTTTCGCCGCGTCCAACTTTCATTTGACAACTTCCTTTGTCTGCTGATGATGCAAACGTGTGTTTTTCGCGCTCCCGCCAGCGAGGCTGTCCCAGAGCGCGCAGGCGTCTGTTGCGCGTCCCGCCAGGGGCTGATTTCCACGCGCCGCCTTCAAATGCCGGTCGGCGGCCGCGACTCCATCTGCCGCGGCGCGATCGCCGCCCGCAACTCCGATTCGAAGGTGCGCAACCACCGCGCGAGGCCGCCCTTCGCCCGGCCAGCGCGCCGAAAGCGAGAGCACCTCCGCATCTGGGAGCGCGCGTCCCAGGTCATCCAAAGCACCCGCTCGCGCGCGAAAGATCGGAAGCGAGAGGAGAAGTGCCAGATCGGAACGACGACCGCATGAGGAGGTGCACGGCTAGGATTCGATTTCAATCACCAACGCGGCGGCATTCTGGAAGCATCCGCAGAGAGAACCACGGGCACAGCTGCATCCCCAGGAAAATCACAAGCGCACCAATGAAAGATCGGCAAGTCCTTATAGAGTGACACGCCAGAGACTGCGCCCCCTCCAACAAGTGGCGGCAGCCAGAGCAGCCTCCCGAACGAACCAAGCGGTTCGACAGAACCGATGTCGACGGGGGTAGTCGGAGACATCACGGATAATGACTAGATTGGCACTAGCTTGAAGTCAGAGCCAGAATGCAGCGAGGGTGTCGAGGTCAGATATTCTCCGAAAGCCATCCTGCTCATTATGACTGCACGACCATTGCATTGATGATGGTGGATGAGCACATGAAAAGGATGATGGCGTGGAACGTTAAATCAGCGAACGCGAAACTGCCCAAACACATATTTTGAAATCAACGGAAACAAGTGCTGAAGCCGCAAGACAAAATGAGGATGAACCTCCGCTGGATGTTCTTCCCTCTGCGCAAGAAACGACAAAGCAGAACCGAGACGGTTCTGGAGCGGGAGAAAGAAAACCGGCCCGGTTCTGGAACCGAGAGAAGAAGACTGGGCTGGTTCTGGAACCGAAAAAAGAAAACAGGCCTGGTCCTGGAAACGAGGAAAGAAAACCGGCCCGGCTCTGGAACCCAAGAAAGAAAACCGGCCCGGTTCCAGAACCGACAAAAGAAAACCGGCCCAGTTCTGAAACCGAGGAAAGAAAACAGGGCCGGTTCTGGAACCGAGAAGAAAAGAAGTTCGGTTCTGGAACCGAGAGAAGAAAACCTGCCGGGTCTTCAACCCAAGGAAGGAAAGCACTCAGGGACTCGAACCTATTTTCTTGTCAGTTGTGCAACCGAGCGATGAAAATATCTTCATATTTGATCTGTTCGAAAGGAAAGTGTGGCGGATGTCAGAGATTCTAGACATGCGCCACAACTGAAAGCTCTACATGCCAATTCGGAACACATGTTCTTCCCTCGGTTGCGCAACCGAGAGAAGAAAACATGTTCAAATTTCAAATATGTTTTCTCTTCTCGGTTCCAGAATCGGCCTGTTTTTTTTCTCTCGGTTTCAGAGCCGGCCCCGTCTTCTTCTCCCGGATCCAGAACAGGGCGAATTCCCTCTCTCGGTTCCATGACCGGGCTCGTTTTCTTCTCGGTTCCAGAACGGGGCCGGTTTTCTTTCCTCGGTTCCAGAACCGGCCAGGTTTTCTTTCCTCGGTTCCAGAACCGGCCCTGTTTTCTTCTCTCGGTTCCAGAACCGACACGGTATTCTTCCCTCGGTTCTGGAACCGGGCCGGTTTTCTTTCCTCGGTCCCAGAACTGGGCAGGTTCTCTCCTCGGTTCCAGAACCGGCTCTGGGTTCTTCTCTCGGTTCCAGAACCCTGCCGGCTTTCTTCTCTCGGCTCCAGAACCAGACCGGCGATCTTCTGTCGGACGAAGACCCCGTTGGGCGTTCCGCCCTCGAATCCGAAACCCAGTTTGTCGATGCGCGAGTTGGCGAAGTATGATCATCATAGCATGAACATATCATGGCATAGCATGCTAAAAAATGCATCATCGTAGACCGTCAGTACGATGTCATTGCCGACGATGCTCGAGCAGCTCGACAACTGCAAGCGGAGCGGGCGCTCGAGGTAACGATGGGGGCTGCGCTGCGCCTGGTTCGGTTCCCCCCAGGCGCGCTTTCTTCGTCGGCGCCTCGCCGACTCCGACTCCTTGCTGCGGCGGCATGCGGGCGGGAAGACGCGCGAAAAGGCGCGCGCAACTCGCGTCTGGGCCTTGGCCCTTGAACCAGCGTTCTGCACTGCTGCGCCATTGGGCTCGCGCTGGAAATAATAGGATTGCTTGGGTGGCTGGCTGCTTTGCTTGTTTTCGGTGGCCTGCTTTAGTTTTGGGCCGACCTGCCCAACTTGTTTGGTGGCGTCCTCTACGCTTTTGGTGGGCATGCTTTACTTTTCAGAGTGGTCTGCTTAACAGTGTCGGGTGGTGTGCTTTAATGTCTCGAATGTTCTGCTCTACTTGTTGGGTGGCCTGCTTTGCTCCATCGAATGGTCTGCTTTACTTCTTGGGGTGGTCTCCTTTACTTTGCGAGCGGTCTGCCTTACTTTTTCGAATGGCCTGCTCTACTTTTCTGAGTGGCCTCCTTTACTTTCTCTGCGGTCTGCTTTACTTTCCTTGGCTGGCTTCACTCTTCGGCGTGGTTTGATTTACTTTCCTCGGGGGTCGGCCGTGATTTTTGGGCGGTCTGTGTAATTCGTTCGTTTTTTTTTTTTTGGGGGGGGGGTTACGGTGGTCTGGTTTACTTTCCCGAGTAGTCCGCTGTACTTTTTGGGGTGGCCGACTTTACTTTTGGGATGGCCTGCCTTACTTGTTGGGTGGCGTCCTTGATTTTCTTGGGCGGTCTGCTTCGCTTTCTTGGTCGGCTTTACTTTTTCGGCGCGGTCTGGTTTACTTGCCTGAGTGGTCTGCGTTACTTTTGGGGGTGGTCTCCTTTACTTTTTGGGATGGTCTGCTTTACCTTCTGGGCGGCGTCCTTGACTTTCCTGAGCGGTCTGCGTCGCTTTCCTTGGTCGGCTTTACTTTTCGGCGTGGTCTGGTTTGCTTTCCTGCGTGGTCTGCTTTACTCTTCGGGGTGGTCTCCTGTACTTGCTGGGGTGGTCTGCTTTACTTCTTGGGTGGCGTCCTTGACTTTCCTGGGCGACCTGAATTATTGTCCTTGGTCTGCTTTGCGTTTCGGCGTGGTCTGGTTTACTTGCACGGGTGGTCTGCTTTGCCTTTCGGGGTGGTCTCCTTTACTTTTGGGGTGGTCTGCTCAGCTATTCGGGCGGCGTCCTCGACTTTCCTGGGCAGTCTGCTTTACTTTTCTTGGTCGGCTCCACTTTCTGACGTGGTCTGATTTACTGTCCTGAATGGTCTCCTTTACTTGTTGGGGTGGTCTCCTCAACGTTTTGGGATGGTCTGCTTTACTTCCTGGCCGGCGTCCTTGGCTTTCCTGGGTGGTCTGCTTTACTTTCCTTGGTCGGCTTTACTTTTCGGGGTGGCCTGGTTTGCTTTCCTGAGTGGTCTGCGTTGTGGTCTCCTCTGCGTTTTGGAATGGCCTGTTTTACCTCTTGCGGGGTCCTTACCTTTCATGGGCGGTCTGCTTTTCTCTCATTGGTCTGCTTTGCTTCTCAGCGTGGTCTGGTTCACTTTCCTGAGTGGTTTGCAATGCTCTCTTGTGGCGCCCTCGACTTTCCTGGGCGGTCTGCTATACTTTCCTTGGTCGGCTTTACTTTGCGGCGTGGCCTGGCTTACTTTCCTAAGTGTTCTGCTTTACTTGAGGAGGTGGTCTCCTTTACTTTTTTGGGATGGCATGGTCTGCTTTGCTTTCCGGGTGGCGTCCTCGACTTTCCTGGGCGGTCTGTTTTGCTCTCCTTGGTCGGCCGTGCTTTTCGGCGTGGTCTGCTGTACTTGCGGGGTGGCCCCCTTTACTTTTTGGGATGGTCTGCTTTACTTGCTGGGTGGCGTCCTTGACTTTCATGGGCGGCCTGCTTCGCTTTCCTTGGTCGGCTCTACTTTTCGGCGTGGTCTGGTTTACTTTCCGGAGTGGTCCGCTTTGCTTTTTGGGGTGGTCTCCCTTGCTGTTTGGGGTGGTCTGCTATGCTTTTTGGGTGGCGTCCTTGACGTTCCTGGGCGGTCTGTTTTACTTCCCTTGGTCGGTCTTACTTTTCGGGGTGGTCTGGTCTACTTTCCTGAGTGGTCTGCTGAACTTGTTCGGGTGGTCTCTTTCCTTTTTTGGAAATGATCTGCTTTACTTCCTGGGTAGCGTCCTTGACTTTCCTGGGCGGACTGCCTTG